AGGCAAACGTTTTTCTCTTTTGCGGGGTGAGCTTATCAAAATTCTGTTTTGTATTTGGCGTGAGTTTCTGAAATACAACACAAACACAATCAGACAACGCTCATTTAGTAACATGCATTTTAAAATCTCTTAAAATCTTGCCTCCGTAAAACTGTAATCGTAGTTGATATCTTCAGCGATCTGATTGTCTTCTGCTAATTCGCCATCAGTGTCACGATTACTTGCCCACGCTAAACAGAAACATTCACAACTTCATTATGCCTATACATATTCCTTCATATTCCTTCCAGTTTCCGGAGTGTACCTTCCATTTGCACACGAAGCATGTTCTCCACGTCCTCTAACGCTTCGATATCCTCTTGTAATAAGTTCAGCATCCCCGTGTCCTCATTGCCCCCCTCATTTTCCTCGGGCTGATCGTCACGAATCTTGCAAGCTATTAACAGCAAATAATTTATATCTTATAATTATACCTTAATTTATATATATATATATATAAAAATTTGTTGGGTTTGTAATTACTGTACAAAATTTCACATAATTTGCTTTAGTTTAAGCCATTTAACTATTCACGCAAACTTACTCACAAACTTAAAGGCATTAATTAAGCATGCGAAAGGTTATTTTTTTAGGAAAAAATGAATAGTTAAAGGGTTTAAACTAAAGCAAATTGCCTGAAATTTTGTGCAGTAATTAAAAACCCAACAAATTTTAAATCTATTAACTCAAACTATGATTAATGCTTTTAAATTTCGTGCGCAAGCCATTTTTAGTTTGTTGGAAAAGACACCCCCCCGGTTCACAACATTTGAGTTCGGGATTTTTTTTTCTCATTATTCTACATTTTAAGTACCCAAGGAAGCTATATTAACATCAAAAACTGGATACTAATAGCTGTTTTGCAAAATTGAGAGCAAATTCATATCTGTTCAGTTTTTTTTATACACCCTGTATAGGCTACGGCATCTGAAACTCAAGATGTTCAACATACCAAATTCAATAACGTGCCTAGTGTAAGAAGACAAGGCACTCGAAGGGATTCTGTACGCTCTCCGCTGACAGGTCCCTCTTCTTTTTACCATATCGTCGAGCGTCCCATCTCCATTTGCATTGAAATACACTCCAATGGAGACTGGATTTTGGGTTTGTTTCCTCTGTTCCTCTTTAAATTCCTGTTTGAAAGATACACAAGTGTCAGAAGGCTTCAAAAACGAAAGCTGCACTATATAATTTGGTAATTAATCTATAACTATTCCGTAGCAATACATATAGCTTTGTCAAGCTTGTGCCTGTTTCAAACCTCGTACTTCTCATGTGTGCCGAACGCGTTAACAACAATAGACAATGAGGCTTCTCAACTGATTATCTACTGAATTTTTAATTTATTAATGCATTTGGCAAATCAGAAGTTTGAAACGGGCCTTACGTAATAGTAAATATATATCTTTGAATATTTTTGCGTAAGCCAAGGTTTAATTATTAGAAATTAAAATTCGTATCAATTGTTTTGCAATTATTATCCTACAACAACAGGAATCAGTATTCAATTCATACTTACACTGTTTGAAACGTCAGGAAAAGCATCGACAACTGACGTGATAATTGCGATGCCAGGAACTTTATTTCCAGCCACATCATGGACTGTTACACTTGGGTGCAACCATGTAAGAATCTAAAAATCATATTTTCTGAACAGTAGATCGCGATGATGGGGTTTAAATTGGGGAGACGCATTCATCGGAGAGATGAGGTAATGTAATATATTTTTGATTTGACAACTGTCAAATGATGTCCAATACCTTAGCCTTCGGGCGAATAGAAGTTCTGATTCATCCCATGCATGTTCTATAAAGTCCAGTTCACAGGCCGGGGTGAGGTACCCGACAAGCACGAGGAGAGAAAAAAGGTAAAACTAATAGGGATGATGTGCAGTGTATTCTTATCTCGCTCGTGTGAACTGGACTTAACGTATATTTGAACTCGTATCCATTTTAAAATAATTAAACCCCTAAATTCATGTAGACATAACAATTGAAAGGTAAACCTACCGGATCAGATTGTTTCCTTATTTTCTTTACGATATTTTTTTCCAACTTTTGCATCGCAGAAGGTCCGGCAATCTCTGATTCGGTTATCTCTTGACATGTAAACAAAACATAATCGCAAATGCCTGGTGTTTTTCCACATGACAATCGTAACTATATAAATAAGAATATAAAAACAATGTATGCAGGTTAATGATTGATTATAGTGCTGAAAGTAGGATATTAAAATCATTCCTTGCAATACATCAACATACCATCGTAAGGGCAATTATCATCGACGAAACACCTTTCATCCACCTTGGCTGCAACTTTAAATTTTGAAGGAGTCCTTTAAGCACCTTCTCGACCACTTCGTTTGCGTCCTCAAACACTTGTTCCCACAAATCGAAATATACGATGGCCCACGCAAGAAGAAGTCCATTGCCACCCTTAAATATATAACGTGCAATAAAATAGTTCTATGAGCATCCCTCATTTTCTAGATCTTCTTACATGTATATTAAATATACCTTTTTATCTTCCATAAACAATTCCAAGTCTTTGAGTTGTTTTTCATCATGCGGATTGGAACCATCTGGATTTGCTGGCAGGTAATTGAACCGGAGAACTCTTCCAATTGTCCTTTAGAAAAAAGTATATATATATATGGCATACGGCTGTATATATATATATATATATATATATATATATATATATATATATATATATATATATATATATATATATATATATATATATATATATATATATAATGTTCTATATATTTTTAACATATCTTAATCAAACTGTAAATCCATTGTACTTTTATACTTAAGATGGATAAATAAAGATTATTATTATTATTATTATTTCTGGTGGGACGCTTCGTAGTCTTCGTGAGTGTAGCGGTTTCGTCGATCTCGTCCTAAAGTATCAATGTTGTTTTTCTTCTCACCGCCGCACAACGATTTTAGTTGATCTCGAGATGTCTCTGCAGCTGGGCATATATCTATAGCTTTCTGTAAGGTCAAATCGTTCTCGCGTAACATACGTTCTTTCAGGGTTTGTGCTTTAATACCGCAAACGATTCTATCGCGTATCAAGCCGTCGTGTAGACTTTCGAATTCGCAGGTTGCTGCCAAAGTACGTAAAGCGGTGACATACTGATCAATAGTTTCATTCTCGTCTTGGTTACGGGTATTTAATTTATGTCGTTCAAATGTCAGGTTTTTCCTCGGGTTGCAGTATGCTTTAAAAGCTGTTTTAAGTTCCTGAGTTGTTCTCTTCCAAACTGTCGCGCCTTCGGTGTTTGTTGACGTTTCTGGAGTTGAGAAAGCTAAAGTTTTGTGTACTTCTCTCGCTTTTTCTCCTATACATAGCAAAAAATAAGAACATTTCTCCTCTTCTGACTTTCCTTTGGGCTCTGTTTTTTCGAATAGCGTCCAGTGCTCTTCGAACTTGCGAAAATTCTCGCTTACGTTGCCCTCCAAATGCAATGGTTTGGGTGGTGCCCACTGAATGCTGCCAGATGCCATTAGTCGTGTTTTAGTCGTGAGTGTTGTTCACTCCTGACACCATGTAATAAGTTCTAGTCTTTTATTTATAACTGCTATAGTATTATACATATGTTACGAGCGAAATTTATAGTGTAGTGAATCGTTACAACAATCTCTAATAATTATCAGTTCTTAATATAATGTTCGTCTTCTTGTAGTAGTTTCCTAAAGTTCACTTCATTTCACTTTGCTCATCAGTCTTCACTTTACTTCACTTTACTGATCAGTGTCCACTGACGAATTTGGGTTGTGCACGCACTTTTATACTAACGGTTGACAGGCGCAGATCCAGACCGTGGCAAAAGTGGCTCGAGCCCCGGTCAGATTTTTCCCACCCAGGATTTTCCGGGGTTCACCTTTGTTGGATACTGCATTAGACTGCATTACGCATTTTTAAGAAGTATATATATTAGTTATTTGAAATGCAGCAAAATTGAGCAAATATAGGTCTATAGCAAACAATTTGAATAACATCTTTTGTAATTGTTCTCATATTACAGTAATATGTGCTAAAAGCAGGAAAATCTTCTGAAATATATTCCTTGTTCAATAGTATAATTATCCAGTTAAACACTGAACTATAAAAACCGCCGAAAGCGTACCGAATTGTGCCGAATATGTTCGGAAAACAGTCGTAAATTCGAAGCTGCGATCACAGCCACAAAATGCCACGGTCAGCGTGCAAAAAATTGCGCAATTGTTACTAAATATAGTAACTTTCTGCAACGGTGCAGCGTTGCAAACCAATCACAGGGCAAGTTGTGGTCATGTGCGCCACGGTGGCTCTATTTTGATTGCGCAATACAAATGATCAACAATAAAGTTCGATACTTGTCGACTTGACGGGATAAAGAATAATACATCACAAGCTACATGGATGCTATCAGGATGGAAGCTTTTAAAAAAGTCGATGTTCTTAGCAAGCTCGTCGAAATCTTTCAACAAGCAAACCTAAGCGAACATATTTCAGGGGAATTATCGCTCTTGAGGCAACAATATGATGAATTTATCACTGAAGAAAGGCTGGGCCGTTGCATCTACTGGCGACATCGTGCTGCCAACGTGCGAATTTTCAAAACTGCAGTTCTCCAAGAGCCAAACTGAAAGATCTGGGCCTAATGTTCCTGTTAGGTAAGAATTTTTAATCGACTTATATTAAATTTGCATTTACGCTGGGGTCAGGGAATATAAATTTGTGCATGCAAATTTTTATGTATGTAAATTTTTGTTAGTGAAATAGTAATATGATCTCGAACACATGGCGGTTAATAAAATATAAATTGCATTTATCCGCTATGTAGTCGTGAAATATTAGTAAAAACTCTGTTTAAAACTGTTATCAGTATTTTGCTACTGTTTACGGCTCCAACATTTGATTGTCGACTGTAAAATGAAATGTTTACTTCTGTATTGGGTCTATATAGTCGTCTATTTGGTTTCACCAAGCTTTAAATATAACGCCTTAATATTTGTAGGTTGACCAGGGGTCGGTTGTTCTAAGCTAAGGCTAATCCTTGGTTAAAATTTAACCTAGTGTTTTTGTTTGTGTGTTTCTGCATGCCTGTTTACTTCGAAGCTTTGAAGAAAACTTTCATTCATCCAGACAAGATTTGTGAAGAAATATTTCTAAATTGCTTGTGTGATGTTACTCTGAGTGTATATATCCACACCGGGCAGGGTTGAAAAATATGCCTGGCCATGGTGGGATTGGAACCTACGACCTTTGGAATACTAGCCCAATGCTTTGCCAACTGAGCTATGCGGTCAGGTCGGTTTGAGTATGCAATACTTTGGAACTGAGTCTAGTTCCTTCGATATCAGTGTAAATTGCCACTAATCTAATAATCATGATATTTGCTGTGTTGGACTGTTAGTGTAATGTACTCAGGTGAATAAGATGCTTGTGTGATGTTACTCTGAGTGTATATCCACACCGGGCAGGCTTGAAAAATATGCCTGGCCACAGTGGGATTCGAACCCACAACCTTTGGAATACTAGCCCAATGCTCTGCCAAAGAATGCTAGCCCAATGCTCTCCCAATGCCTTTGCCAAAGGTCATAGGTTCGAATCCCACCGTGGCCAGGCATATTTTTCAAGCCTGCCCGGTGTGGATATACAGTCAGAGGAACATCACACAATATGGATTCTTGCACTTCACTTGGTGGAATTAATATTAGAATGTTAGGGTTAGTAATCCAAGTGAGAATATATACATTTTAAGACCTAACCAGGAACGACTGCGAAAAATGCAGCACAAGGTCCTCTGGTAGGAATCGCAGGGCCGTAGGTTCATTTCCTACCAGAGGACTTGTGCTGCATTTTTCGCAGTTGTTCCTGGTTAGGTCTTAAAATGTATATATTCTCACTTGGATTACTAACCCTAACATTCTAATAACATCACATAAGCATCTTATTCACCAGAGTACATTACACCAACACAGCAAATATTTTTAACAACTGGCCCCTGGAGGGTGACTACCTCACAGGTGTTTGTTGTGGATGAATATTGATGTTGTTGTGGATGATGTCATCCTGATCCTAATCCTGACATTAAAACCTAATCCCGAATCTAAAACTGCAACAAAATCCCATGAGTTAGTCAAGGCCAGCTGTGAATTCGATGTCATCATGATGTTACTCAAATTACACAAAGACATTGTAGGGGGCCTCATTGTTAAAAGAATTATGATTATGGCTCAATTTCCATATTAATGATTCCAAAATTTAATCTCCAGTCCTTACCTTAAAACCAACTCTAGTTCTATTGGTTACCCTGACTAATTCTAGTAATTATCCTTTTGGCACAAAGTTATATGGAACGAGACCCATGATTATACAAGCAAAAGGAGGGAAAACATTTGGGAAAACAAATGGTTCCTTGCTATTTCTCAAATGGCAAGGTATAACATTTGTTCTCCAGATAATTTGAGCGAACTTTGCAAAGTATAATCACATAATTACTGTGTGGTGCAAAGAAGTTGACATTCTGGTTAAAAGTTTCAATAGAATATTTACAAAATAATATAAAATAACCATTGATACTTAAATGCTTAAATTCTTTCAGTCTGAGTTTTCAGTACTTCATTGTCTCTTTAATGCATGTTCTATTGCGTTAATCGGGAATGAGAGTTTGTCTGCTCACTTGAGATGCCTCACCAGTATTGAACTGTTTGAGAATGCCAAATACTATACTATACTAGCGTTCACTACACTTAAAAATGCCTCTGCCATGTGTGTATCTGATGCAGCTCTTACTTTTTTCGAGAATTGTAATGAAATGCAGCAGTTTTAGAAGAAGCAAAGGAAACTGCAAAAAATTACACATTCTCATCCGTGGTGTGCATGTTTGCCTTGCCCACAGTAATTCAGTGTGCCATTCAGTCATTCTACCCACTCACCAATGATACTGTAGCGAAAGAAAATTGGGATTCCTTGGATTCGATTGTACAATACAGTATATCTACGGGTTTATCTTGATGGCAGTGCAATTGAATATGTCCATATCTTTCATTGTGCTGCGATGCCACCGTCTTATTTGGTTGATGGAAGAATTCTATCTACCAAAAATCATTTTGTTACCTTGTGCAAACCAGTTAAAGCACTTCGGCCACGAGACCATTATTTTAAAGCACACCTTCCAACCTTATTGAAGTCTGCGATGCCAGTTCATCCTAAAGTTCCTCCTACAGTTTCTCCTAAAGTTTCTACTAAAGTTTTTTCTGCTCCTTCCTCTACACAAGTGACTACATTTACTAAAAAGCAGACGACTGGTCCAAAAAGAAAACAAATTAGCTTAGATCGGTGCGCTTCTTGTGAAACGAGCGTGCAACACACAAGAAACTGTAGACAGTGAAATCAAATTTCCCAGCACTAGTAAAGGAATTTCATCTGTAACTCCCAACACTGGTCCTACTTCAGAAAAATCTAACACCAAAACACAACGAACTTCCAACAATTCGTGGCCAGATGATATCTACAACTACGTAAATCTGGTGTCCAGTCTTCCTGATTCGAAAAAGTACGAAATTCTGTGCAATCATTGCCATTGGAAACCTGGTTCTGATTTTTCTTTTCCTCCACGCGAAAATATTGGTAGACGTTTCCGGTTGGCATGGTTATCACGATTTCCATGGTTGGCTTACTCTGCTGTGGCAAACGGTGGTTTTTGCGTCACTTGTGTTCTTTTTGGCAGTGAAAGCACGCATAATGCAAGCGAGCTCCAACTATTGATGACCAGTGCTCTTCCTCCAAGTGCTTCTGCTGTCCAGAAACTATGTCAGCATGGTGAAAAATCCAATGTTCACGCAACGGTAACTTTCCGTGCTACACAGTTTAAGCGAATGATCGAGAATAAGACACTTGGTATCGATGCATGTGCAGCTGAAAAAACCCACCCCGTAAAAGACCTGCGTTGCAACAGAAACGCCAAGATGATTGAGTTCGATGTACAGCCCTAATTGTATATTTTTTGCTACGAAGAACCTGAAATACACAGGAACAGTACATGCGGTACAGAGTTGTGGTTTTATGTAAGGACAGTGATTTTGTAACATTCTAATGTTGTAACGTTGAAGAACATGGTATGTTGTTTAAATATTTGACTTATTTAGTGCGTTTCGTTATTTGCTCTCTAAAATATGGCGTAATTAATGACGAATTATATTATAGAATTCGATGCTCAGAACTCAGGAAATGGCATTTCCGGGGTTCAAATTTCAAAAATTTTCCGGGGGGAATGCCCCCGGACCCCCCTAATTATTGACGGTTTTGGAGTGCGCCACGGTCAGGGTTTAGGCTGGATCCGTAAGCGCCCATCGATATTATTTGCACCGTGTATTCATTATATACATTGTCATTGACTGTATAAGGTGCTACATCACGGAATAGATGGCTACACTCAGTACAAAGAGCGAAAAATTGTATCAGATCTGTATCAGATCAATAAAGCATAAACAACTATTAAACAGAAGCGGGTAAACGTTTGTACGGCGTTTACGAAGAAAATAACTTGCGAGACTAAAGAAATCAGTTGAGTCAGTTAAATAAGAAAGACGAGGAGATAGCCAATGTGTTATCGCCAACGTGTTATCGCCAATCGCTTGGCTCGCCAACAAGCTTTATGCAATAGAAGAAAAAAGCAAGGATCGAGGTACATGTAGCCAACGTGTAAGCACAACGCCGTTGTCAACGGTGCAAATTCGTGTTCAGTTCAACGATACCTCTACCAGATCGTACGAGAATCAATCTGTAGTATTCTGTACACAGAACTGTATCAAAGCTTGTTAAAACTGCTTTAAACACTGCTTAACTGTGAAACTATTGAAATCTAAAGTGACATTATTCAACACATGCGAAAAGCTGAAAATAGACGTCACACTGGGAATAGTCAAAGGTCAATGAGACTTGTTATTGTGAAACATGTCACAATTAGGTTAAAATGCGGAAGCGGATGAAGCGGATCCACGAAACGGATATGCGGATAAAACGCGTCCTTTTAATGATGTAACGACGTAGTGCTTAATATTCATAACATATCTTATACAGCTATTTCAATTATAGTTTTAGATCAATTTAGCATAGCAGTAGCCTCGTGGGGATGCTTTTAGCGAGAGCTGCAAATGCAAATGAAAATTTAGAATATGCAAAATTTGGTTGTTGGTAAACCAATTTAAATTTCGAATTGTCGCGTGTAGCATCACAATAAATAGATAAATTGCATCAGTTTCACAAGGCACGTTTCTGATGTGTTAGGCTTGTTTCAAACGTCACGCTACTCGTGTGCCGAGCGTATTAAAAGCAATAAATAATGAGATGAAATGCCTTTGGTAACTGTTTATTTCGTAGTGTAAGCCATCAGCTTTTCTAGGTTGTCGGCGACCCTATATAGTTCTTGCAGTGTCTTTTTCAATTTGAAACTTCACACTATCCTCGGATCCCTAGTTTGTATTTGCATTAGAATTGTTTTGTTTACGATTGTAAGTTTAGGCGGGAAATTTCCCGTGTGGAAACACGCTTCTCGACCAATCAACGCTCGCATACTATAAATGTTCTATATTATCATAATTTATGCATTTGGTACGGCTCATGTAAAGCACGGCAGTATAAATCAATATGTGCTTCAGCCGTGTAGCACGCCTGAACCAGGCGAACTTATTAATTTAGCCATGCTTAATATTAAGTGCAGTGCTTAATTGCTTTAGACGCCGTGCTTCTCATTAATCATTGTATTAAGTTCGGCTCATGAAAAGCACGGCGTCTAAACCGGGCCTAAAGCTCACAATTTTCTGCTCTTGGGAATTTAAAGCAGCTTCTTTTAAAAACAGTTTCTTTATGCATAAAATTTACTTATATGTCAAGCTTTTATGCACTTGTGGGTTCAGCAGAGTGATGAGGCATTCAAATACGATATTTCAATTGTTTTGGGGTTTTTGGGGGACACTGAATGCTGAATTAAACCGAACAGTGTGTAGCCTGCGAACAGGCTCTCAAGCTGAATTGAGAGCCTGCATCGATGACTAATGAATTTGAATCTCTGCGTCTCAAATCGTGACGCTAAATTCTCATTGGTCAGATGCTATAATTTATATGTTTTCGCTGAGCTCTATATATGTCAACTGCAAGCACTATGCATAAAAAAACACATTAACTGATGAAATCGGTCTTGGCCATCTTATCTCAAAGCACGAAATGTTCTGTTTTGAGAAAACAGTATTTAAAACATTTGAACTTTTGCTTGAATATCTTATATTTCGAAAAACAGTATAAACTGTAC